CGCCCCCCAGGCCCTGTCGCCGCGGCCGGCGCTGGGCGCGGCGCAGAGGATAGTCGCCCCCCAGCTCATCGTCAGGCCGCCTCAGCAGACCACCATCCAGTTGCCTCCGGGCTTTACTATCCCGCCTGGTAAGTGGAAATTTTCGGCTCGTTGGTCTTTGCTGACCCTTCTTGCTGAGCGCTTTTGAAAGTTGCCGTTTTTTCCCGCCGCTCGGTTTGTTGGAAACAAGCAAGCAGGGAAGAGGCGGGGGGGAACCCGTTACCTGCTTTGAAGGCGAGTTCTGATAAACGGGCTGTCATTGTTTAAGGTCTAATGGGTGCAGAATGTGCAGTTCCGAATGTGAGCTAGCTGTGACTGCTGTTTGGCGAGTTACTTGTTCTGTCTTGTTAGGGAGAGACTGACCGTCACGGTAAGTTGTGCTATGATTGTGTAGTGAGCGCTTGTGTTCAAGGTAAAAAACTGAAAAGTGTTAACTAGGAATCGTGTCTTATACGTTTTGCTCTATTTTCTTCTCCACTCTTGCTTCAGAAAAAGTTTTTCAGAGAAAGTCTTCTGATACCAGCCAGATGATGATATCGAGGCTAATTTGCACAATTTAATCTAAATTTTTTTCATTTCAGCGTATATGATTGTACTGTTCCCTACTGTGTCTGGGCCGTCTTTGCATCACTGAATTTTACTTCTAATTCTGTAGTAACTGTTACATCCAGTTTGTTCTCCTTTTAGTTTCTTAATTTTCTTTATTAAGAATGTATCTTTAAAAAAACTTGAAGAGGCACTATTTTGGTTTATTGTCATCCTAGCAATTCCTACTTTAACTGTATATTTTTTCCTGTGAAATTTTGAAGGCTTGCATTCACAGCATTCCTACTTAGATACTCATATTGCAAAGAATTGATAAGTTTGTTTCCTCATGGTTTAGGAGATTATGTAACATTTAAACTTTTTTTTTTCCTATTAATGCTGCTAACATAATGATACTGAGGATAGATGTAGTCAGAAGTAACTTATTTCTTTCAACATGTGTTGGTGAAACAATTTTGTTCTCTAGAATGCCTTATATTTATTAGGTAAGTGGGGCAAAAAATGTGATAGGGTAAAAGCTTGTTTCTAATTTAATTTTGTTTTAACTACTTGTGTATTTGGCCATAATTTATGAAACTTCTGCTCGAAATTCTAGTGCTCCAATCAGATAAAGCTCAGTGGTTTTATGAGGACCTAATTAACTTAAAACATATAAGAAGTTGTATATAAAAATCAGATTACTGCTATTTAGACCATATTTAATAGCTTTAACCTTTGATTTCCCATTGTTAACATGCATGAATATCATAACTTCCCATGCAGTTTCTGAAGCTGATTGTGTCAATACTTTGTTCTGCTGTTTGGTTTTTCAAACAGAGCCCTTGAAAACAATCTTGTCATAGATTTAGAAAACATTATAGAAATAGTACCGTGGAAACTTTTGAGTTTTATCTTTAGACTAGTGGATAGTTTGTAAATGATTTTGAAACATCACTCTTAGCTCCCATGGTGTAAACTCCTGTCTAAAGCAGAAATTTAGAATCAAATTTTGAGAGTAGGCTATCTTACTATATAATACAAGCTCCTAATAATTGGGTATTTCATATTTTATGTAGCTACAGTAAGGCAAATTACTGTAAGTAAGTCCCCCAAACTGAATTAAAACATGTGAAAATTAATACATGAACATGTGTGCATGGTGATTATGCCTGAAACTTTTCTTGGTACTGTATAGGGTATGTTGCGATTAATTTGTCCATTCCATTCAAACATTCTTATTCAGAATGAGTTTTACAAATTTAGGAAACTTAGGAAAATACATGTGAATTGGTGTGGTGCAGATAAAGTGTGTGTGGTTTTTTTTATTTTTATTTTTTAATGCATGTTAGTCCATGTCTTATAAGGTGTTTTATGTAAAGTTCACAACATAATCAGAGAAGTGGTGCCTATTTTGACCAGTTGGGGCAATGTACTAATATTTGTATGTCCAGGTGGTTTAGGGATAGTAATGGCATATGTGAAATAATCATCTGTTTATCGAGTTTTCGGCAAATGTAAGCCCGAAGGTTTGATGTTTGAAGGGTTAGCAGACCCCCAAAGTCAACATTTTAAGAGTTCATATATATATATTTTTTTTTTAAAACTCTTTTTTTAAAAATTATTCTCTGGGCTTTGAAAGAGAGTTACAGTCATGTTTTTTGGATATTGCCCTTGCCATAGCTCTCTATACCTTTTACCTTAAAGCTTGATTTCGACTTTGTAGCGGCGCAGATTTTCTGTCTGTTTGTGCTTTTAGCGGCGGAGGTTGACTGGAGGCACCTAAGTCTAGGTGAGTGAGGTCTTTTTTTGGCACAGTAGTTCACTCACGTGTTCACCGCAGGATCAGGACTTGTATTTCTATGTCAGAGACTGGAAGAAAGATTTTCTTTGGGGAAGGTACTTTTGGAATTTGTTACTTGCTTGATACAATAGTGCTCAAATTTCTTCATCCTCACATTATGTTGCAAAACCTGTCTATTTACTGAGACTTTTTTTTTCCTGAAAGCTGACAGTTAATTTTAAAATGATCCTTTGGGATTTTACTAGAATGTTTACTTTCCAGTCATCTTGTGCTGAAGAGTAGTTGTGTCGATTCTCTGGGTATGTTTTTCATAGTGTCTAAACCACGTATTAGGTTCTTCCTAATACAGTGATGGTGACTGCCAAATAAACTTCTGTGCTAATGCTCAAACACGGACTAAATCTTGAATGTTATATACCTAGAAATGCGTCTGGCCTAATATTTGCATGTACATGTTTTGCACGTACATGTAAACCTGTTTTAGTAAAGCTCTCATGTCATTGTTCTTGATATGTTCATATGGAATTCTATTCTCAGCTGCTGGACTGCCATTATAGTTAGTTAATATTTCTTTCTAGTTTTGCTCTGCTGACCCTAACTATACCTCTAAATGTTGCTGCGCTCCTATACGTGCAAGTTATCAGTTTTTTCATTGTTGTTATCCATAAAGTGCAATTGTTGGAATGCTAACCTGAACTGTGTAATAATTTTTGCTTGCTACTAGAGATTCCTTTTATTTTTTGAAATAAAATCTCATATTATGCCAGATAAAAAAGAAAGATACACGATAAAGAAAAATGTGAAGTCCTCTTTTTAATTAACGTTAATTTTATTTTGTATTCTTTAGATAGATGGTTCTTTATATATGATTCTTTATACTGTTCTTTATTCTGTGCTTACTCTTACTTTATTCTCATTAGGTATGGTCTTGGTGCGCACGGACGCTGGACAGCTCGTCATGGTGCCTCAGCAGGCTCTAGCACAGGCTCAAATGCAGGCTCAAGTACAAACGCAAGGACAGGGTCCCACCAGCATTTCACCTAGGCTTTCAGTGCCCACAAGTGGCCCAGTGTTTCGCCTATCAACAGCTCAGGTGTGTTTGGTTTGATTTCACTTTGTTTTTATGGATTACCTTTTCCTCTGTCTTGTACGCTAGAAGTCTGTATGTTTTTGAAAATGTGTTTTTTTCCCCCTCTTTTTTGTGTTGAAAACAGGAAATATGTTGTCAAATGCAGTTTAGTTTCTGGGGCCTGGGAATTTTGTATGTATTTGAGAAAATCTACATTATAGATTCTTTCAAGACCCTGTTTGGACTGTGAGTTCATTGGAGGTAAGAAGGCTCAGTCGTAGCCAGAAATTAGTTTGGAATGTATACCACTCATTCAGTAAGTGAGCCTTATTCCAGAATCGGAATCATTCTAATTTCCGAACATGGCACGTGGATGCACTGTATAATCAAATTTCACCAGAAAGAAGAAAAGAAAAAGCAAAGCTCATTCAATATGAACTTTTGCCATGATAACTTTTCTATTATACTTTCTTCAAAACAAGGATTTGATTCTTTTGATCCACCTCTGGGTATGATCTGACTACACTTCAAGTAGTGTCTGTGTTTTGACTACATTCCTTTTTTTTTTATATGAGTTGACAGGATAGTATGCTTTCGTACACCAAACTGTTCAGTAGAGCGTGCTTTTTTTCAGCTCAGAAGTGATTTATTTTCCAGGGTGAAGGCATGTTGTTACATTTTTAAATTACTTTGTAATCTGCTTTGGTTTAAAATTTTGTAAAGAGACTTTTCAGCTTTGGGCTATTTGGGGCTAGAGGTGAACTATCTTACTGAAATGTAGATGTAAACGCTTTTGGAGGTTGGTACAGACCAGCTGTGACTTTAATATTAGTAGTAGACAGAATTAAGGTAGCGTTGATTAAGGTCTTTGTGAATGTGATAAATAATTTTGAATGATGTGATAAATAATCCTGAATAAGATGAGATGAAGGTGATGCCTTGACAATTTTTTTGATTGATTATTGGGCAGCTCGTTGAAATAACTTAAATGTGTATTTCTCAATGTTAAAGATTTGATTGATATGGCATTATATGCTTTGTATGTTACAACATATTTATAGCCTAAAAAATTGTTTAGTTTATTTCAAAACTAAGAGCAGGAGAGAACAAGAATGTAGGAAGCTGGAATAAAATTGGATAATTGAAAATAAATTAATAAAATGAGATAATCTAAAACATAGAGTAGCCAGCTGGAAAGTAAGTTTCAGACGTGAGTGTATCTAGGAAGATCCTAGCTCAACTGAATGTATATTAGGAAAGAAGAAAAACCTGGAAATACTTGAAGAATATTATGCTGTCAGAAAAAGGTAAATGCAGTATTAGATGGAATACATAAAAGAATTCTCTGCAGAAAAGGCAGCTGGTGAGTATTTACATTTGTAATACCTAGAAGGACAGGAAGACTTGTAGAAACTTCCAAGGATAAATGTATTTTAGGAAGAATAAACACAGACAGAAGAAAGTACAGCCTATGTTAATTTCCAGAGTTTGTGACTAGCTTGACAACAACAGAAATCCAAACAAGTTCTCCTTTTCAGTTTGCGTGTCTGCCTTTGGTTGTTTGGGGATTTTTTTTAGTGAATAAAGACAATCAAATTTTTCCTGGTGACACCAAGAGACTATGTAGCATACATTCCAGCAACAGAGACGAGTGTATAGCATAAATGCAAACCAGAGATTGAGGGGTGGGGCTGTACCAAAAATATGACATCAGGCTGCTAAAATGAGTTAACTAGCTTTATCTGTTCCTGCTTCATATTGTTAGTTTTCACATAACTTTACTATGGCTAGCATGCAGAATTCCAGTTCACAGTGGAAACAATCATAGCATATTAACAAATTGTCTATAATTTGGACAAAAATTGAGGAGTTCAGCTTTATTGTGCACAGAATCTTAGGAAGCGTACAAAAATGCAGGTAGACTGCTTTGCTGCCTATGTTCAATGGCTCTTGTAAGATTGGAGTTTGGATCCCAAAGTCAACCTTAAGATGTGTGTGCAGCAGATGTTTGGGAGCTGAGCATGTTGGCCTCAGGCAGCTGTTATCTAGTTATATGAAGCAGTTAAGGTTGTGGGAAGAGCATAATCTAACTTGCTAGATTTATGTATACACACACACACACACACACACACAGAGATATAGAGATACAGGTATCTATAGATATATATAGATAAATAAACACTATGATGATACCACATATTGATGTGGTTGCGGAGCTGCCTGAACTCTGAAGGAGCGATTTCTGGCTTTAGAAGGTCGTAATTGTTTTTGTGCAGGGTTCTGCCCAGGCTAGATGCCTTGCTGCACAGCTTTGTTGATGTTCCTTTATACTTGTTAAGGCTAAAAAGCTTGTTGAGAGTAGAAGGAACTAGCAAGAGGTTATGAACAGTAAGTGCTTTACAGGATGCAATAGTTTGAATATTTTAGGGTTGTAGGGTTAGAATCATGGTATGGTAGCTAGTCAGGATTCATCTGCTTTGAGAGATGTGTGGCACCCGCCCAATTTGTACTGCATCATTTCTTTATTTGCTGGAATTAATAAAGATAAGAAATGATTAAATCTAGTCCTTGAAAAGTGTACATTTTACTACATGATTCTGCATATTGTCTGCAGGCTCTTTCATTTTTACAGTGCTTATATTTTGTGTATATTTGCCCTTAAAAATATTACAAAAAATAATAGTTGGCAGTGTTTTAAAGCCAGATTGTAAATGTTTAAGTTGTAAAGGTTTTTATTATATCAGAACTAGACTTTCATCTGACTAGGTGGAAAGTTTATAACTAGAGGCTTTTCATTGCTTTTCTGGAGAAATATTTGTCTAATGACATATTATGCCAAGCTTTTAAGAAGCGTCAGTTTTTTGTTGGAGTAACCTTTATGATTGATCAAGAAAAGGAATCAAGCTCTAAAGTACAGAGGATTGTGTACTGGAATACTGGAAATATGGAAAAATAATTTTTCTTGTATGTTTTATGTCTAAAAAGTGCAATGTTCAGGAGTCTTAGTCTCTGCTGTGACAGAAGCACAGGCAAACTACGTATGCCATTAGCTCAAGACAGTCAGAATATAAATGTTCACTGCTTGAGTCCTGAGAAATATTTTGCATGATTGACAAACATTGCAGGAGGTGTAGTTTTAACCTCTAGAGCATCCAGTACCTATCTAGCCATTGTATTTGTGGAATGACTGGTATTTTACTACTTAGAAGTTGTTAAATTTGATATTATATCTCTATTCCGTTATTTTAAGATGGCTTTATTTGGATTAAAATGCAGGGGGAATGTATGCATGTATGTGGAATTTAGTGAGGTACTTCAGTCACTGAATTTGCGCCTTACTCTAAGAAAACTGTCAAGCTTTGACTTTGGTAGTGTAGACTTTCTACATAGGTGGGAAATTTGCAGTCTACTTTGTGCATTCTGATAAATAGTGTCTTTACTACTAAGAATGTACAGTCTGTTTCAGAAAAGCTAACGCCTTCATGCTTCTTAGATTTGTTGTTGCTTTTCTTTGGATTGTCCTGATTGCTACCTACAAGTTAGTAAGCTGAATAAGTGTTTTCAGCTTTATAGTTATAATTTGTATGTATACTTTAAATAATTATTTTGTTAAGAAAAAGTGTTATGAGCTATGCAGTTAGATGTAAAACACAGGTCATTAAATAACAAGCAACAGAAGTTGCAAAAGCTCGTAGATATTTTTGGCAACTCATTAAGAACTTGTGTGAGTGATAGCTGGAAAATGTAAAAAGACAAGAAAGATGGCTTGATAAATTACCAGAAGTGTTCATCTGAACGCATCTCCCCTCAACAAATAAGTAATTCCTCCTCCCCCTTGAAAAAAAGGAAGAGGGAAGGAAAAGAAAGGATGAATAAGGAAAATATTTTAAATGTTCTTATACATAGAGAGCTGTCCAAACCGTCTTCTAACCTTACTTCCTCAGCCTGATAACAGAATAAGGTTTTCCTCCCATATCCCGTGGCCATTATGATAGATGTCCCAGTTATTTGGGAGAAAAATGTGTGCAGCTGAAGCAGGCTCCTTGTGGAAATTCCTCTGGCTTCAGCAGCTGTGCTGACTTCCATGAGAACATGTGAGGGAAGTGCCACCTTTCTCTAGCAGCAATGACAGTTGCTGAAGTAGAGAAGGCGTAGTCTGCTTTCTGTTTGGATTCAGTATACGGCCTCAGCATAATATTTTCTTTAAAGGCGATGATTTTATCTATTACCTGTTGATCGAAACCACGTTGCATTGCTGAAGGTTCTGAAGTCAAGTATCTGTATCTAACAGTATTTACCTTTGTAGGGAGCTCGTACCACCGTTCATCTACTTTTCCCGATTAAAAAAAAAAAAATTAGATTGCTGTGTCAAACACAGAAGTTCAGGAAGATTAGATACGTAACTACCCATTCATCCTATGTTAATCTCTTCCATAGACGTGCAGTGAATTATGGACTTTGCAAGACAAATGTACAAAGAAAGAAGCGTCAGCTAGACAGGCAAGGCACGGAATTGATGTTGCACAGCAAACAAATCTGGTGCTTCTTACGTTTTGAGTGTTTATCTTTGCAATTTAGAGTTATTGTTTGACTTTGTAATACCTTGCTTATGTTTTTTGCAGCTTTTAGGAGTTATGGGTAGGGGATGTAAGCAAATGAAATATAGCCTTTGAGACAATTTTATATGATGTTCTTGGAAGAAGACAGAAAAATCCTTTTTGAAAGAACGACTTGGGTTCTGTTCTTGCCTCTTTGGAGAGGTAATTTTTAATTAGACATTTAATTCTCCTGCTCTCAGTCGCTGCTCTGTAAAATATGAATAGAACCCGCTAGTTTCAGTTCCTAGCGGAACTCTGGAAAACTGTGTAGTCAGGACAAGCAGGTGCCTTGCAGGAAGGTTCTCAATTGTGATCGGTTTAATGCCAAGCTAGAAGGCTCTGGAGCACGGGAACGTGTCACAAAAGGATGTACAGTGTCTGAGGGACAGAGCGCGGGGCAGTGAAACGGATTCCGTCAGAAGAATC